AAAAAAAAAGAATTTAAAATCATTTAAAAAATAAATAAAACAATTGATTTGTTAAATGTAAACACTCAAAACATATGCTATAATATTTGTAAACCTCCCTGCCCCCCTTTTGGGCATTTCACCTTCTCTTCCACCTCTTCCTTCTTCCTTTCCTTCATCATTTTTTAAAGTTAAGGTTTAAATTCTCCACTAAAATAAACTAGGGTTGTTTGAAGAAATGGCTGATTCCAGATTTGAGTAAGGGAAATATATATGAACATCTAGTTTTCCAGAAAGTAAGAAAACACAAAATGGTGGAAACATGTCAAAAGGACAAAGTAGCCAGCTTTAAGGAGTTCCCATTGGCTGGCCAAAGTTGGTGTAATTTAAGCATCAAATCAAAGAATGATAGTAAGGGATTACAACTCCTAGAATAAAATAAGAATCCATGAGTCCATATTGATGTAAGTAAATAAAGTAGAATCCAGACTAATAGACATAAAAGGAATGGTGGATTTAGAAAAATCACCATTTGGCAGCTGTCATAGTAACAATCTATCTAGGCAAGAGTTACCAATGAATACTAAAACTGGTGGGTGAGGTCTGATGGGAAACAGGATATTTATATAGACTTAAAGTATCTCCCTACAAGATACTTATAAACAACAAAGGGAAAAACACTAATTTTATACCAGAGAAACTTGGCAGGCACCACCTTAACCAAGTGATCAAAGTTAAAACCAGATGATATTATCAAATGCCTCCTGACAAGTTGCCCTGAGAATGACACATCACTTCTGTGATACTCTTGCCCAAGATGCAGAACTGCAATGCAATCACAACGTAACATACGACAAACCCAAATTGTGGAGCACTGTTCAAACTAACCAGCCTTTATTCCTCACAAATGTCAAGGTCAGGAAAGACAAAGACTAAGATACTGTTTCAGATCGAAGGAAACTAAATACATGTGGCCACTTAATGCAATTCTGGACCAGAAAAATTCATGTTGCTATTTTGCTATAAAAGGCATTAGTGGGACAACTGAGAAAATTTAGGTTAGATCTCTATGTTAGATATCAATATTAAATCAATGTTTATGTCTTGATTTTCATAATCTTACAAGAAAATGTTCTTGCTTTTAGGAAATTTCACACTGAAGTATTTAGGGATAAAGGGGCACATCAGATCTGCAACTACTCTCAAATGTTTAAGAAAAAAGGAAACATTTGGATAAGGGATATAGATGAACACCCTATACATACACACACACACACACACACACACACACACACACACGTGTATATATATATATATGTGTGTACATATATATGTATATATATGTGTGTATATACATATATGTATAAAGAGAGAATGATAAAGCAAATGTCATAAAATATTAACCTATGGGGAATGTAGAAAATCTGTGTAAAAGGTGTCTGACAATTCTTTATTATATTTTGCAACTGAAATTATTTCAAAATAAAAAATTTTAGATAGCACAGTATTAAAAATACACCTCTTGGATTGGGATTATTAATGTGACCCCAAAAGGGGTAATTTATGATCTGAGGCTAGTGTCTGGGATAACATAGGCAAATTCATTATATATATTATTTTATCAGATAAAATAAGTTAATCATTGGCTTGTTAAATCTGAAGATCATAACTTGTTTACAGGCAGTTACTACTCATAAATAAGCATATGATTGCAAAACCCTGAATTGTAGCATATACACAATAAAGTATAATTTTGCATTATATATGTATACATAAACATACATGTTTGAATTTTGCAAGCTCTACTACCACTGATGCTCACTCATTATTTAATCTGCTCAGGAATCAGGGGAGGTGGGCATCATTAACCTTGTTTTACTGAAAAGGAAACAGAGGAAAATCACAAATAAGCAAGGGGCAGAATCTAGATTCAAACCATCGTCTTTTGAATTCCAAGGCCAGTGAGGTTTTTTTGTTTCTTTTTAAAGTTTATTTATTTTTGAGAGAGAGAGAGAGAGAGAGAGAGAGAGCGAGAGCACATGCACATGTGTGCATGCAAAAGTTGGGGAGCGGCAGAGAGAGAAGGAGAGAGAGAATCTCAAGCAGGTTCAGTGCTGTTAGCACAGAGCCCGATGCTGTGGGGGTTTGATCTCATGAACCATGAAATCATTATCTGAGCTGAAATCAAGAGTCAGATAATTACCCGACTGAGCCACCCAGGCATCCACCAAGGCCAGTGTTTTTAAGCACTCTGCCACACTAATTATTGATGCTATTGTCATCAACAAACATCAGTGGGAGTATCAGTTACTTTAGCTCCTATGCTTCAATTTCTATCTGTAAAATGGGATCGTAATAACATGTCTTACTAAGACCTGTCAAGTGCTCGGAATCATGCCTGCACATAGTAAATGCTCATGTGTGAATTATTAGTATTTACTGTGCATAAGGCGCGAGGATCACCATGAAATCTAAGATGCCATTCTTCAGTCTGAGTCTACTCCCCACAAAGGCAAACAGCCACCACGGGCAGCTCATGCTGAGACCAGCCACAGACCTCCGTTCCATAGAACCAGACAGAGGGATGCCCTGGAAGGAGTGGCCTTGGCTAGCAGGGCACTGAGGTGGGCATGCCAACACTGCTCCTTGCTCCGGGAGGAGCAGCTGCCCCTATCTGATGAAAGTCCTCCTGGTGAAAGTCCTGATGACTACCCAGGCAACCTAGGTGCAATGGCCACCCCCCACCTACATGTCTCATCTGCTACCAGCAGCGCAATGGGCTTGGTGAATAAGACTGTCATTTTACCCTGGAGGTCTCTGCCAGGGTCAGTCAGGGTCCAACCTGGAAAAGGAAATCATTCTAAAGCATCTAAAAACGGTATGATTACAGGGAATTGATTGGATGCATAGGTGGTGGAAGAGGGGGGAGGACTATGACACACCAAGTGTAAAAAGTCATGGCTACCTGTCAGCTGGAGGGGCAAGGGAGCAGGTGACGTCACTGGAGCCCAAAGGCCAGGGTCACCTGAGGAAGCCGGAACCACAACAGGCCTGTCTTGTGGGAGCTGGAGCCATGGAAGAGATGCAGCCACAACCAGACAGAGAGAGCGAGAAAGCCCCCATCCCCCAGTTTTTTTCCTTTCTCCTGTCTGCTGAGCTCCATCCAGGGCCCACCAGCTGACACAGGAGCCTGGGGAATGTAGCTTGAAAGTCTCCCTAGGTTACCCCTGCCCTCCCCTCACAACACATTCAAGGGGAAGGAGAAAGGGAGAGGGATGAAGAGGAGATAGATTTCAGGGCACACAGGGCCAGGACTAGCCCATGGCACTTCCACGATGGCCTTCTGGTAGCTCATTCAGTGCCTGGCACAGACCCATGCTTCCTAAATGTGTGTGTGTCTGGAAGGAGGTCATAGTGCCCTGTGTCACAGATTGTTTTAAAAAGTGAACACCATGGGGCGCCTGGGTGGCTCGGTCGGAGCCACCGACTGCGGCTCAGGTCATGATCTCACAGTCCGTGAGTTCGAGCCCCGCGTCAGGCTCTGTGCTGACAGCTTGGAGCCTGGAGCCTGTTTCAGATTCTGTGTCTCCCTCTCTCTCTGCCCCTCCCCTGTTCATGCTCTGCCTCTCTCTGTCTCAAAAATAAATAAACGTTAAAAAAATTAAAAAGTGAACACCTGCTATCATCACTCTGGAAAGCTGTTTGACAGTATCTACTAGCTAGCAATTGCACTCCTAAGTGTATATGTGACAGAAATGTATACATATGTTCACCAGAAGACATTTACTGGAATGTTCATAGTAGCACTTATTACAATAGTCTCATACTGGAAACTCCCCAAAAGCGCACCAACAGCGGAATGGACAAACAGAGTGAAACACTGTATAGCCATGAGAATGAATGATCTCTGATTACCCACATCAACGTAGATGACTCCCATCAACATGATGGTGAGTGAAGGAAGTCAGACACAAAAGAGCACATGGGCTGCATGATTTCATTTATATAAATAGGGAAAGAGGCAACACTTATGTCTGCTTCAGAAGTCAGGGTCATGGTTACTCTACAAGGTGGTGGTGACAGTTAAGGAGTATTTGGAGGGCCTGCAGGGGTGCTGGTAATGCTCTGTTTCTTCAGCCATGTGTTGGTGACACAAGTGTGTTCAGTTTTTGAAATTTTGTCAAGCTGTGCATTTATGGTTTGTGCACAGCTTCCTGTATGATACTCTTTAATAAAAACTTTACTTAAAAAAAAGTGATCCAGTAGACAAACACTAATTTGAAAAGATATATGTACCCTGATGTTTATTGCAATATTATTTACAATAGCCAAATTATAGAAGCAACCCAAGTGTCCACTGATAGATGAAGATAAATAAAAAAGATGTGATACATATACATACGTATATATAGTATATATATATATA